TCCAGCATCGCAGTTCCTACTATCTCTTCCATAAAGCTAATTGTTTAAAAAAGGTGCATTAAAAACTGAAATGAAAACTGTTGCTAATGATGGGTGATAAGGAATCGAGGTGCTGTACCAGAAAATACTATACAGAAGACAGAAGTAAGCTGAAAAGTTGATAAAGCTGAGATTTCTTGTCATTACCAACAAATCAGAATCACTGCTTCTTTTTCTGTTTCCCCACAGTGTCTTCACATTTCAATGAAAATTCAAAATGATAGCATTTGGATCTGAACATTATGAAAAGGTAATTTGTTATGGTACAGTAACAAAAAGATTGAAAAAAGGCAAGACAAGAACATTCAGCAGGTAGGAATAGCTTGTAGGCTATGTCCATTCAAATACTTTGCTCTCATTTAGACACTTTGGTGTACAGCAATGGCATGAACTGTGGTATGGGATACAAGGCATTGGTTACTTTCTACAGCAATACTTGTGTTTTCATCTTCAAACGATCAATGGGTCCAGAATGTAAGGAATAGGTACAACTGACAGGCTCTATCATTGGGAAAAGCATTTTGCAACATAGATGTCACTTGCCTAAGTTTGAAGCATAAAGTTTTTTTGCAAATGTGCAAGATGTTTACTGACTATAGAAAGCAAAAAGCAATACACTGGAATGATCTAAATATCTTTTTCCCCCATACTTCCTCCCTCATCATTAGGCTATTTTTAACTTTGCTATTGAGTGCAAGGTCAAGATTGAAGGAACTAATTTAGACAAAAAATTACATCTGAAACAGCACAAATGTTTATTATAAACTTCATAAAACAATTAATATTTGGTTGCTGCTTTAATCAGGAACCACCAATATACAACCTGATTTATTGCAGATCAGACAGTTGCATTGCAAATCCAGTAGCATTCTCCACCTTAACTATTGCCTTTGATTTTTGTAGATCAGAGATTAATAGTTGCAAAAACATCAAAGTAATACTTGAATTTGCATAGTGCCTTTGATGACCTCAGGATGGCCCAAAAGCACTTTTCAGCCAGAGAACTTCATTCTGAGGTACAGTAACTATGGAACTATAAGACAATGCCACTAAACTATTGCTGGAAAAACTCAGGTCCAGCAGTCTCTGTGGAGAGAAAAACAAAGTTACCATTCAGAATCCAGAATGACTACTTCCTAATTACAAGTCTTTTGGAACAGGAGTTATACTGGACTTGTATCTTTTTCTCTCCACAGAAACAACCAGACCCAAGAGTTCCTCCAGCACTTTATTTCTATTCAGATTCCCAACAGCTGCAGTTGTTTTGCAAGGGGATAACATTCCACCACACACCTGACTTGTGCCTTGGTAGCAGTGGATAAAGAGACTTCGGGAAGGCAGAAGGCAAGCCACTCAGGATTCATAGCTTCTGATCTAATGTGGTAGCTGCAATATTTATATGGCTAGTTCAATTCCATTTATGGTCAATAATAACACCCAGGTCATTGATAGTGGAGGGGAATGCAGAAATGGTGCTGCCATTGAATGTCAAGGGGCAAAAGTAAGATATAATTTTGGAGATGGTCTGGTCTGACACTCGTATGGCACAAACGTTACTTGCCACTTGTCAGTTCAAATCTGGAAACTGTCCACGTCTTGCTACATTTGAACATGAATTGCTTCACCTCACACGTCTTCAACCCTGATTCCCATTAACTCTAGTTTTGCAGGAAACCCTTAATGCCAGACTGATAAATGTGGCCTTGATGTTTAGGACAGACACTGTCACTTCCCTGCTCGAATTCAGCTATTTTGTCCATGTTTAGACCAAGCCAGTAACAAGGTCAGGAGTTGAATGCTCCTAGTGGAACCCAAACTGAGCATCAGTAAGCAGGTTATCAATGCTTGATAACCTTGATGGCACCTTCTATCACTTTACTAATGAACCAAAGCAGACTGATGGTCCGCTAACTGACCAGGTTCAATTCATTCTACTTTATCTGTACAGGACATATCCGGACAACTTTCTACATTGTCAGGTAGATTTCAGTATTGTAGGTCTACTGGAACAGCTTGGCTAGGGATATGGCAAGTTCTGAAGCATGCATTCAGTACTATTGTTGGAATTTTGTCAGGGCTCCATAGTCTTTCCACTATTCAGTGCCTCCAGCTATTTCTTTATATCACGTTGACTGAATCAGATTGGCATAAATGATGCTGGCAACCTGGGAGGTGGTTGAGATAGCTCATTCGCTCATCACTTCTGGTTAAAGATTGCTGTAGTTGCTTCAACCTCATCTTTTGCACGGATGTTTTGGGCTCCCCCATCGAGGACGGGGATATTTGTGGAGACACCTGCTCCAACAAGTTGCTTAATTGTCCACACCATTCACGACTGAATGCGGCAGAACTTAAATCTGATCCGACAGTTGTGGAATCGCTTAGCTCTATCTAGTCACTTGTTTTTTGTGCTACTTGGCATGCACATTGGCCTGTTTTGTAGCTCTACCAAGTCAAGACCTCATTTTTAAGTATAGCCAGTGTTGCTTCTGGTATGCTTTCTTTCATTCTTCGTTGACCCAAGGTCGATGCCCTGCTTGATGGTAATGCAAGAATGGGAAACACACCAGGTCAGAGGGCTGCACATTGTTTTGGAGTATCATTCTGTTGCTAATGGCCCACAGCACCTCATGATGCCCACTTGATTTGGAGACAGTGTAGCAACCTATTGCAGCAAAATCTAGCTATGGAAACCAATGTAAGTCACTAAAATGAGAAAAAAAAAACGTGATCCCAAAACAAAGTGAAAGAAATGCTCGCCATTCGCCAGTCCTTTTTTCAGTCTCAAATCATCAAAAGCTGGGTATCATTAGGTATAAGATAACGTACTTCTTCTGTTATGCTTTTCAGCAAAACGTACATAATTGCAAGAATTGTTATACAGTACTTGTATCTAAAGCCATAGACAGCCATTAAAGATTTAATTTGCAAGCTAACTTTTAAGCGTGTGCCTTATATCAAACCCGACATTATGTTAGCCAAGCCATTCGGAGAACTCCTTTCAAATATTACTTTGATATACACCTAAACTATTGCAGAGAGAGGATGGAACATCTCAGCCAAAGTCAGAATGCAACATCTGAACACTGCACTGGAATGTCAACTTACATTGAATTCAAACTATGGGGAGTAGGGTTAAACCTTCAACCTCTGCTTCACAAGTAAGAATGCTAATAAGTTCAGCTGACATGCAGCCTTGCTGAGGAACCATTTGGTATGTTCCCCTCATTCTGTTATTTAACAGACCATTTGAGTGTTTAACAATTTCCAGATTGTAAAGTAACAGGCATTCCAGACACTGGTCAACTGCAACACTGCAGATTTGGATTGAAATACATGAAAGCAGCTGTAAGGGATGTACTCGACAAATAGCAAGCTCAAGCTTCAAATGTGGAACTGACAAATTGAGAGAGTCACAGTATGTTGTAGACAGAAAGCAACTCCTGAATCATTGACCAATTTTGCTATGTCTTCATCTTTAGCGTGCAGATCATTAACAAATAAATCACAGTAGAACAATAACACACTGGTCTAACTTTTAGTATCAGGGTGCAACTCAGGAGAGCCCCAAAGCAACTAACGTAATGAAACACTTTTCAGAGAACAATTGAAAGGTTGTTTATTATACGAGTGAGCTGGTTGATGTGCAGTAAGTCTGGAAACACTAACTAGGGAATCCTTTACTTCAAATGAATGGCATCACCCTGCTATATCAAGAAGACCGGATGACTGAATAAAGTTCCTAAATTGAACGTGTTATTGGAATTACAGAAAAGGAGAGAGATCAAATATGTAAATCATGGGCATTAATAGAAACTTAATTATAAGTGGAACAAATATCAATACCATCCTTTAAGGTTCTGACACAGTAAAGCACACAATACCCTCATCAAGCCGGCGGTGTAGTTCAACCAGGATACTTGAATATGGCCATTAAAGACGACAGTGGGGAAAAGATAGTCATTAAACATTCTAAGCTGCAACATCATGCCAATTACCAAAAATAGTTAAACCAGAGCCATAAAAGTTTAAAATTAGAAGATGCTCATTTTGACTTTAGTCATTTAAAATTGACACAGATCAAGCATAGAAATGCTAAAAGCCGTATCATGAATCTGAACCAGTAACCCTACAGCTAACTTAATTATAAGTCTGATTTTCAGAATATGGCCCTGATTTACTTCAAAAGGAAGAGCCCTTTAATATGCCTCCATGGATGCAAAGATGCAGTGCACATTACTGGACAGACATTCTGAAACTAAAGTGAATACAAAGAGGTTGAAGTAGTTTCCCCTAAAGAATAAAATGATTGCAGTGACAGGACTGCCAATAACTTCAAGCTTAATTTAATACATTGCAGTAGAGTTTCTTATGGTATCATTTGAAAGATGGCTACAAGAATCTAAACTAAGTACAAATAATGATGGTGCATTGTTGCACCCTGTAACAAAACAGTAGCAAAATTACAAACCAAAAAATAACTAAACTCTCCATGTTATCTTTGGAAAACCCCATACCTGCCCCCAAATGGTAATCTTTGACAGAAACCTTACCTACTGGAAGTCTGCTTTGCCCCTGTGGTAAACGTGGAAAAGGATCAGGATTGCGATCATAATATCTATAGTCGTCGCAGAAACGCTCGGCTACATGCCGTCGTCTTTGTCCATCTTCATAATACGGTTCAGGATAATAGTAACGGGTAGAAGGCTGGACAGCATCACCATTTTCAGAGGAATTAATTTCAGCCAGAAAGGATTGTGACGAGACACCATATTCTCTAGGAACTTCAGATAGATTACGCATGATGTAGGAAGGTCCTGAAGGCCTGCTGCTTTCACGTCTAACAATTTCATGTGCAGGCCTTTGGACTGGACCTCGCACAAAACTTTGGTTTCGGGAAACAAGATCAATTGAGGGATAAACAGAAGTTCCTGGCTCCACTAAAACATCAATCCGCCTTGGAATGGTTGGCCCATGGCGAATAAATGAAGGCATTAAATCTGTAATTAAAAGCCAGACAAGCATTACACAATAGTTTATAGATCTTAAGTACACGAATACAAAATATTTTCAGTGCCATTTTCAACATAAGGGGAGGGGATGGCCTAGTGGTATTATTGCCAGACTGTCAATCCAGAAACCTGTTCTGGGGATCAAAGTTCAAATCCTGCCATGGCAGACGGTGAAATTTGAATTCAATTAAAAAAACAGAATTAGGAGTTTAATGATGACCATGAATCCATTGTCGATTGTTGGAAAAACCTTTTGGTTTACTGCTGTCTTTTAGTGAAGAAAACTGCCATCCTTACCTGGTCTGGACTACATTTGACTCCAGACCCACAGTGGTGTGGCTGACTCTTAAGTGCCCTTTAGGATGGGCAACAAATGCTGGCCTAGCCAACAATTCCCTCATCACATGCATGAATAAATAAAAAATAACGCAGCTGCTTGCAGAGTTTAAAAGAGGTTATGTTACTGTTGAGTATATTGAATTATATTTAGTTATTTCTAGAAAACCAGGTATTGAAGTCCTCAGCAAAATTATAGAGTAGGAAATAGTACTTGCCTTGAAATTAATCAACTTCAATGGCAAAACTAAATTCTCTGGTGACCCATATTTACATTTAGTTAAAAGCATTGAGTACCTGACTCATGATTCACATGCTTGATAATATAACTTTTAGTTTTCAGAATTAAAACTAATTCTAGAAACAGTGAATTACCTGATTGAGGTAACTGATAAGCAACCCTAATAAGCAACTTTATAACTAAGGCTTCACTCTAAATCATTCTTTGTATGGCTATATGGAATGATTTTGGGATGTCCCAAAATGGAAATGCAAATAAATGCAATTTAAACAAACTTGGAGTTAATCGGTTAAAAGCTGACCTGGATTTATCTTCCAAGGTCAGAGGTCATGTTGATAAAAACAGGAGTAGTGGATGATCCATCTCTAAGCTTGTGATGTAGCCAGGACATTCAGAGAAAGGAAAATTATATCTTTTAAAAATATGTAGTACTTGTTCATGATTAAAGAGTTGTGCAAAGGTAGAATTCTTTGTTCACATTTCTGTTTCAGGACATCCCAAAATTATTCTGTATAGCGCAGAATGATTTAGGGTGCAGCCTTAGTTATAAGGTTCTGCATGTGCATGTTTACTGACAGAAGCATGCATTTCACTTAGGGTTTTGAGGTAAGAGCAGTTAGAAAATTTGCTATAGTTTTCACTAGAAGATATCTACAGTGGTTCTCAGAATTGTTGCAGAAACCAGAACATTTTGTCAATTAGGTTGGAAAGAATTGCTTCAAAACTTTGGGAGAAAATTGGTAAAAAGGAGTCTTGGGTATCTCCAAAGTCAAGACAAAGAGCTAAGAAATCTACAAATTTGGAGGTCTTGAAAAGGTCTGAGAACTGTTTAGCCAAAAACTAAAAATGATCTATTTGTTTCTATTAAAGGGATAAAGGATATGAGAAAGTAGAAGAAACCAGATTTGAGTTGAATGAAATTTTTAAAAAAAAATTAGCTAAATGGTGCAAGGTTGCAGAGCTGAGGGTTAAGTCTCTTTGGAATTCCCCTCAAAAAAGGCAGTGGATGCAGAATCCTTAAATATTAAGGCAGAAGTAGATACAGTCCTGATTACCAAGGTGATCAAAGACTATTAGGAGTATGCAAGAATGTAGAGTTGAGGTTAAAGTCAGATCAGCCATGTTGTTATTGAATGGTGGAGCAGGTTCAAACAGCCAAGAGGCCTACATATGTACAAGTCTACATGGTTTTCAAGTGACAAAAAGATCAGTATCTCAAGTCAGAGGTTATTACACCTAATAAATGTTTGGCAAGTATAAATTTAACAAGGTACCAGAACAACAATATTTAACAAAACAGTTATTACTAATTATCTCGGTTACATTTCCATAGCAAGTCAAAATTAATTTGAATTGCTTCATAACTAAGAAATAAATCAACTTGAAATTCAATCACACCATGAAAAGACTGTGCGCGCGTATGCAGAAAGTTGAGATAAATCCCATCCACAACCTACAGTACTGTTGCAAGCTTCTACAGATCCCAAGGATTACATTCTTTGTTTTGTTTATATTAGAAATGCATCTGTTAGTTTACTTAATTGGTTTCTCTGAATAATTCATATTTTATGCTGTGATAGTAGGTTTTGTTTCTGTAATGCCTAAGGAGCTTTTAATTCATCAAAGTTTTTCAGGCTTAACTGCTCCTGCTAGAAGCAAAATGAACCAAATGAACTTGGTACAGGTTCCTTTAGGGTTGGGCGAGAGAGGAAGCTCTTTATGGTGTACAATTAAATTGTACTACTGGAGAAGGAATCAATTGTGGTGAGCGAGCTTCCAAAATGAGTCTCGGTACATCTGCAGTTCCAGGCAAATTGCCATACTTGCAATTAGTGTAAGTTGTTAACCGTAATATTGCAGCTATGCTTCACTCCTACTAGAGCAGATAGATGGTGGTCAGTTAGTTCAGTTGTCCAGACGCTGGTTCGTGATGCCAACAATATGCATTCAATTGCTGCACTGACTGAGGTGACTTTGCCCCAGGCATGGTTACTCATGTTAAACCTCCAGTTGTCTCTCTCTAAATCAGAGAGCAGCCCTATGGTTTTAAAAAAAACTTTACCTTTTACCAGATAGATCCAACAGAACTAAGCTTCAATTGCAAAACTGGTAACTGGAGGTCTCCAGGAAGACATACAATTCTTCAAGCTACAAACTCTCTGGCAGTTGTCTACTATTGAAGGATAAAATTAGTACAATTTAGAGAGTGTGGTACATGATCTTAAGCTTTGATCACAGTTTATTATAAGAGTTAATATTGAAGTTCTGCCTGCAAGCTTCTTACCTACTACAATTCTTAGCATATAGCACAGCTCTCTTTGCCAAAACTCCTTTCTTTTCCTGCTCTAGATGGATCACCAGAATAGTTACTTGAAATTCAAATTACTGCAGAATCTGCAAAACTGTAGGGGAAGGGGGTGGTTAAGCGGAAGAGGTGCTCATGTTGAATTCTGCAAGCCCTTCAAAGATTCTTAAGATGGCAAGGTAAAATGCATCTAATAAGCATAAAGATACAAACTAGCTCTTCTGAAGGAGCTACAATGGTGATTACTTTCATTATGTCAGACTCTAAAACTGAGGCAAGTGTATTGGGTGTTCATCGTTGTGTATAATCAGACAGAATGCTGATGAGCCAAGTTGGATCTTCAGAATGCACAGGTACCTCATGACTTGGGAAATTTCACATCACTCATGTTGTCTGCCTGGCCTTCAGACGCTGTGCCTTCAACAACCTCAGCCCCATTCTCTAGAAATTCTCCTTCTAACTCTTGTCTCTTTACTTTCTTTCTCCTTCAAAACCATTAAGATTAATTTTCAAAAACTTTTAATTGCTCAAATTTCTTACCATGATTCAGCAGCCACACCTTATAACGCCTGCAAAACATCATTGGATACTTCTCTACATGAATATCTACAAGACCAGTTGGGTCAACAGGAATGAGTTTCATACTTTGGGTTAGCACTTTATGCAGAACAGAAAGGTCATAAACTCCCAAAGACAAATGACTGGTATGACTAATTCTGAACTATATCTTATTCTGCACACAAGTATGCTTTAAATTGAAAAAAAAACACACCAGGGTCCACTGGAGTGAGAGACTGCAATTTAGCGGTTGCTTGATAATTAACAGCTGCAAATATGTCTGTCATGGAAGGTAGAAAAATATTTGCACTTTGCACATGAATAGATCAAAAGAACTACTTTCATCAAAGAAAACTGTGTTTTTTGCATAAGATAATGGTTGCAAAATCTTACCCCAGTTCCAACAGAAATCTAATACGAGACTACAAAACATGTTAAAACACTGAAGTGATAAGTATCTAGAAAGTTTAGCTTTTAAGATCTAAAAGTTTAGTTCAAGCTATTTAGAACAAAGAGCTACTGGCCAGAGTCACTTACTGCATGCAATTTCATAAAGGGATATCAAAATGTAGGGATTCAAAAATAAACAGCAACTGCAGCTGTAAATACAACTTCAAATTCAAAGTTCTACATTTGCCAGTCTTACACAAAAAAAATCATCTTGTGCCAATTAACTCATTTGCCAGACTACTAGTATTAATACAAATCATTTTACCTAATCTCCGATATACTATCCGCTGAATTTTGCTGAACTATATTTTGGAGGTGTATAAACTAGAAATCTGAAAACAAATGGATCAATAAATAGTGAGGTCACCACTATCTGCCTGGTGTGGATGTTGAAGTTGCAAGGCTGTGCAAAGTTGTGAAAGAAGATGGAGAATTACCAATAAAGCAAGGAAGAAAAGTGATTTCAGCTTCATGTTACAATTACTAATTTGGGATGTTGTGTTTTCTTGCCAACATTTTAAAATGCTAGGAGTTGCCACTAAGTATTTATAGAATGACAAAAAAAACACCAAAACTGAATGCTGAGGCCTAGGTAATGTAATAGGAACTTGGGTCAAAATGTATTGAATTTAAATTAAAATAAACTTTAAAGTTAGTTTCAGCAATAGGACAATCAAACCACTAATAAAATTGTTGCAAAGTTCCGCTAGTTCAATAATGCCCTTTAGTGAGGGAAATCTGCAATCCCTACTGGTTTGGCCCACAGTAATGTGGTTGACTTTTAATTGCCTAACAAGGTAAAAAGGTCTACTCCTGCTCTTAATTCCTTTGTTTCGCTATTCATCTACTTTGTTAATCCCCTGCTGCTATGCCAGGCTGGATTCACCATTAGACAAACCTATACCTTCCCCCTAAAAGATCAAAAGGTATTCACCACTGCTTGATATGAACAGCAAATCTAGCTGCTATCCTCTTCCTCATCTTTCCAATCAGCAAACCCACCAGGATCTAATCTAACATCTTTGCCATTCTGATCCCTAGGCTGACTTTGCAGACTCTCCCTTACAGTCTCTTTCCATGTCCTGCCTGAGTTCAACTTGTCCACATTCAGATCATCTCCTGATCTCAAAATCCCATTCCTGTTATATTGTTGACCACCATTTTCCATTACTTACTCACATGCTTCATTATATTATACACAGCTCCAACCTCACTGTCTTCCCTCATTTCCAAACCTACCATTATTAAAACCCCACCTCAAAAAGCCTACCCTTGGACAGTAAATTAAAACAAAGAACAATTGATTCTAGAAACCAAACAAAAATAGAAATTGCTGGAGAAACACAGCAGGTCTGGCAGCATCTGTGGAGAGAAAGCAGAATTAACGCATTGACCCTTCTTCAGAGATTTTAGAGAAACTCAGCAGCCTTCTGATTTTCTTACCCTTAGTGTTCACATAAGTTGACACTCCTGCTCCTTTTTCTTCTTCAATGCTTCTGCCAAAATCAGTAACCAGCTTCTTTACAACACTATTTTTGAATCGCCTGCTACAGTACTAAAAACAATGCAAAGTACATCTGTGACTGTGTTGCACAATCACCTGTCAGCTCCTCAGATCCCATAGCGCTTTGGGCATTGTTGACCACACCATCTTGCTCTAATGCCTCTCCTTCACTATCCAGATAAGTGGGAATGCTTTTTACACTCTTATTTGATTCGTTGACTATCTCACCACTTTGCAATCTCTCCACTGCCAGATGTCTAACACGCCATCACAACTCTAAACCCCACCTGGCCACTATTCCAGGGTGAACGAAATTGTTGGCAAATTTGGCATCCTTTAAGTCCTGAACCGACTCTATATGCTCCCCATCAAAAGCCAATTACTTCATTCTTCGTAACATCACCCATCGATATTCCAGTCTCAAATTTACCACGGCTGAAACCCTCTTCTAGACTTGACTGGGGAGTCAAAAAAAAACTTTACAGTTTGGAGACCAGCAGGCAAAAACTAGTCGTCTGCTGAAAATAACGTGCCCCGATTTTGCAACTAAGAATCTTGATAGTTATTTGCTTTAAAAAAAAAGGCTCGTAACACTGTTGTACGAAACCTCAACAAGATTAAATACCATCAGAAGCTCCGCCCGACAATCCATACCTAACATCCCTTCCTCATTCATCACTATCCTCAACTAGGAAATAGCAAGTCTCATTAATAATTATCACCACAACAGTAATGGACCAATGCTTTACTTAAAAGACAAACAAACGTAAGATGCATCAAAACATTAAGAGTCTGGAGCCCCCGTAAAGGCGGGGGTGGTGGTGGTGGGGGACGGGGTCCGCTCAGGGAACTTCAAAACGGGCCCTGACCCAGCACTTACTCCTTAGTAGTGGAGACGTCTCCTTCTTCACGTACTTCCCCTGCACCTCAGGCGGTTTGGACGCTTCGTTTTTACTTTTCTTCCTCGATAACATCTCTTTAAAGAAGCGCTCCGCCCCTCTAACATGGCGGTACCCACATCCTAAGGGCGGCTCATCAGATCAGAGACAGAAGCGAAGTCCCAACCGGCCGGCCCGCCCGCAGAATGCTGGGAATACACCCGCTGGATGCTGGGAAGCGGGAGGGGTGGGGGCAAGGCTGGGCATGCGCAGTGCTCGCCAAGTTTTTTTTTCCCCGAGAGATAGTAGGAACTGCAGATGCTGGAGAATCCGAGACAACAAGGTGCAGGGCTGGATGAACACAGCAGGCCAAGCAGCATCATAGGAGCAGAGAGGCTGACGTTTCGGGCCTAGACCCTTCATCAGAAAAGGGGGAGGGGAAGGGGGTTTTGAAATAAATAGGGAGAGAGTGGGAGGCGGATAGAAGAGGGATAGAGGAGAGGATAGGTGGAGAGGAAACAAACAGGTCGAAGAGGCGGGGATGGAGCCAGTAAAGGTGAGTGTAGGTAGGGAGTTAGGAAGGGGATAGGTCAGTCCAGGGAGGACGGACAGGTCAAGGGGGCGGGATGAGGTTGGTCGGTAGGAGATGGAGGTGCGGCTTGAGGTGGGAGGAGGGGATAGGTGGGAGGAAGAACAGGTTAGGGAGGCAGGGATGAGCTGGACTGGTTTTGGGATGCGGTAGGGGGAGGGGAGATTTTGAAACTTGTGAAATCCACATTGATACCATTGGGCTGCAGGGTTCCCAAGCGGAATATGAGTTGCTGTTCCTGCAACCTTCGGGTGGCATCGTTGTGGCACTGCAGGAGGCCCAGGATGGACATGTTGTCTGAGGAATGGGAGGGGGAGTTGAAATGGTTCGCGACTGGGAGGTGCAGTTGTTTATTGCGAACCGAGCGTAGGTGTTCTGCAAAGCGGTCCCCGAGTCTCTGCTTGGTTTCCCCGATGTAGAGGAAGCCACACCGGGTACAGCGGATGCAGTATACCACATTGGCACATTATCAGGTTTAGGCAGAAGTGTGGGTTTGAATCAGATCATTCGTGATCTTATTGAATGACAGAGACTCTCACTTTCTCTGTTTGTATGTTAATATCCAGCTCCTAACCACTAGCACGATGCACTCATATCTGGTGTTATATTATTTGTAAAGAGCTGCGTTGTGAATACATATCCCAAGATGGTACATTTACTACTGCATTGCAGTCTAGTGATGAACAGCAACAGACAACCAGCCAAATGCAGGTTACCCAAAGGTGTTGGGATGTGGGGCTGAGGGGTGTGCTAAAAATTGAGAAAAATCACCAAAGTGAGGCAGAAACTCGGCATGTACATGGCATAAAGTGGATCTATTGAAAATTTCTTAACAAAATTGAAAAATACAAGCAGAACATGTGTCTTCAAGGAAACAGAACAGCTCATTTGGGATTCTCACCCCCTGAAATGGAAAAAAAGCCTGATTGAAAAGGACAAGCTCAAGATATTGTAGGCTGCGCTGCCAGAGCACATGAAGCCATCAGTAGACAAATGACGATGCTGACTATCTAAAAGGTGTGTCATTTAAGTCTGGTCTCCCTATTACTGGGAGGATATTATTAAGGTGGAGATAATTCAGAAGAGATTTGCCAAAATGTTGCCAGGAATGGATGGTTTGAGTTATAAAGAGAAGCTGGATAGACTGGGACTTTTTTCACTGGAGTGAAGGAGGTTGAGGGGTGACCTTATGGAGGTTCATAAAATTAACGAGGGTGTAGACAAGTTAAATGGCAGGTGTCTTTTCACTACGGTGGGGGACTTCAACACTAGAGAGCATATTTTTAAGGTGAGAAGAACAGCCCCCATTAATAGCTATTCACCCTACTAGACAGATCGTTATCCGCTCCTTTGTCTGTCCAACTGATCTTCAACATTTTCCTAGCTGCCATCAGTTCTGATGATGGCTCACTCACCCGAAATGTTAACTCTGATTTCTCTTCACACATGCTGCCAGACCCGCTGAGGTCTTCGAGCATTTTCTGTTTTTGATTTTGATTTAGAGCGTCCACAGTTCTTTCGGTTTTTATTAAGAGGAATCACTATCTTATTCCAGTATTGGAAGAGATCACGCCAGCACTGTCAGACACAAACAGAATATGCATGGGGAAACTTAAAAAGGAAATTAAGCGAGCAGAAAGGGGGCCAAGTCCCACTAGTGGTGGGAAAACTATTGGAAGTGATTCTGAGGGTATAATTAATCTGGAGTTGGAGTGGCAGGGATTATTCAAGAACAGTAAGTATGGTCTTGTTAAAGGGAGATAATGTTTGACCAGACTGATTGGATTTTTCGAAGAGGTGGCCAGTTGTGTAGATGAGGCAATGCATTCAATGTAGGCTTAAGCAAGTCTTTTGTTGAGGTCTCACATGGGAAACTGATTGCGAGGGTAAGAGCCCATGGAATCCAAGGAAATTTGGCTAATTGGATCCAGAATTGGCTGAGTGGCAGGATGGTCAAAGCCTGTGTCCAGTGGCATTTCGCAGTGATCAGTTTTGGGACCTTGTTGTTTGTGGTATATATAAATAATTTAAACTTGAACGTAGGAGGGTTGATTAGCAAGTTCATGGATGATATGAAAATTGGTGGATGGTAAATAGACAGGACGACATAGATGGCTGATCAGATGGGCTGATCAATGGCATATGGAATTCAATATAGATAAGTGTGAAGTGATGCTCTTGGGCAGGACAAACAGGTCAAGAGAATATATGATGAACGGTGGGACCCTGAGAAACACTGAGGATCACAGGGACTTTGGTACGCATGTCCCCAGGTCCCTCAAGGTAGTGGGACAGGTAAATAACATAGCTAAGAAGGCATATGGGATACTTGCCTTTGTTAGCCAAAGTACAAGAGCAAAGAGGTTATGCTGGATCGGTATAAAAAGTTGGTTGGGCCACACCACAACTAAAATATTGCATGCAGTTCTGGAATCCACATTATAGGAGGAATGTGATTGCACTGGAGAGAGTGCAGATGAAATTTACCAGGATGTTCAGTGCCATGCGTCGCCATATGCACACTCTTGACCTCTGTCTCCAACAGCACCGCTTCACACTGGTTCAGAGCTGCACTGCTCCCCAGTTCCACTTCATCCTCTGGCTCATTTGACCTGCTAACAAGAAACTTTTCTTTCCAGGCATCAGAGAACACAAGATGCAACAACTCAGAGATACCCACGACTCTCCAGAACGTTCCTCCTCTCTCTTTCCCTCTGACTCCATCCCCTCTCCAAACCCCACCTCCTGTCATGTGTTTATTATCCCTTTTGCCCTTCCATTCTCCATTACTGAATGTTCTGCACTCAGCAAAGGTCTCAGTTTTATCCCTCTGTGTCCCCACCTTAATGACTTCTGGGCACGACATGACATTGAACTCTTTTTCTGTCACCTTCACCTCTGTGCCTATTTATATGGGCAAGAGTCCTCTTCTCGTTCCACAGACCCCTTCGCCCACCTCCAACACTGTCCCTCCACTTGGACCCCTCCCTCTGGCTTTTTACCTGCACTCAACCCATTCATCAAGAACTGTTGATGTGACATTGGTCACCTCAATTTCTTTGTCTCCGCAACCATTCCAACCTATCTCCCCGTGAACTGACTGCAATTTGTGTTCTCAGATCTAACCCTGACTTTGTCATCAAGTCTGCTGACAAGGGTGGTACTGTTGTTGTCTGGGCTACTGACCTCAACATTGCGGAGGCTGCGTGCCAGCTCTCAAATACCTCCTCCTATCTCCCCTGGACCATGACCCCTCCATGGAACACCAGGCCATTGTGTCCACAATGGCCAGTTACCTCATTTCATCCAGTGATTTCCACCCCCCACCCACTGTTTCCAAGCTCATAGTCTCTCAACCCTGCACAGCTCACTTGTACCTCCTTTCCAATTCCACAAACAGGACTGCTGGGGCAGATGCATTGTTTATGCCTGCTCCTGCCCCACAGAACTCATTTCTTCCTATCTTGAATCAATTTTTTTCCCTTCCCCAGTCTCTTCAGCAATTCTTCTGATGTTTTACATCAGTTGCAGAATTTCCATGTCGCAGGCTCCAGCCGCCTCCTCTTGACCATGGACATGCAATTCCTTTACATGTCCATCCCACATCAGGATAGTCTCAGGGCTGTCTGCCTTGTCCTGGAAAAAAGGCCTGAACCATTCCCCATCCATCACCACCACCATCATCTGGCTGCCTGAGCTTGTCCTCATTCTGGACAACTCTTTTATATCCTCTCACTTTCTTAAGGTCAAAGGATGGTCATGAGTATCCACATGGGCCCCGGTTATGCCTGTCTCTTTGTGGGGTACATGGAACATTCCTTGTTCCAGTCCTATTCCAATGCCACCCACAACTCTTTCTCCAGTATATCGATGATATCATCAGTACTGCTTCCCTCTCTCATCCAGAATTGGTTTATCAATTTCGCTTCCAATTTCCACCCTGCTCTCACCTTCACCTGGTCCATCTCCGACTCCTACTTTCCCTTCTTCAATATCTCTATTTCCATGTTTGGGGATAGGCTGGCCACCAATATCCACTATAAAGCCACCAACTCACACAGTTGCCTTGACTAACATCCTCACATCCTGCTTCCTGTAAAGACTCTATTCCATTCTTTCAGTTCCTCCATCTCGCATCTGTTCTGATGATGCCAACTCCAAAATGTCCACCTTCTTCCTTAACTGAGGATTTCCCAGCAGCTTAGTTGACAGGGCTCTCAGCTGGGTCCTCCCTTTCTCCCACACTTCAGCCCTCACGCCCCTCTCTTCCCTCCCACAACAGCAATAGGGTCTGCCTTTTCCTCACCTACCATCCCACCAGCACCCACACCCAGCAAATAATTAGTCGCTATTTCAGCCAAACCTCCAGCAGGATGCCACCATCAGACACATATTACCCTACCTCCCCTTGCCAGCCTTCCGCAAGGACTGTTCACTCTGGGGTACGCTGGTCCAGTCCTCCTTCATTCCCAACACCTCCACACAGCGCCATGGCACCTTCCCCTGCAACCGGAGAAGGTGTAACACGTACCAGTTTATTACTCGTATCCAAGGGCCCAAACACATCTTCCAGGTGAGGCCAAAAATCACACGACACCAGGTTACAGCCCAACAAGTTTATTTGAGAAT